GGGCGGCCGGGGACGGGGGATGGCCGGGTAGCGGCCAGCCTCAACAGCTACAACAAAAGGCTGGAGGAAGCTAGGACGGAGTGAGGAGGAGGGCAGGAGGTGAGGGCCGTGCGGCTCTGGCCCAATCCCCCAACTGCGTCTAGTTCTGCATCCCTGGAGGGTAAATTATCTCAGTGCTCTGGGGGTTTACTGTATCTTTGCCTTTATTACGGACCATTTGAAATTCTTTTTGGAGGAGGCAAGATTTAAGTAAGAGAAGCGGGACACCCAGGCCTGGTTCAGGGAGGACTATGCCGAGGAAGCTGGAGACTCACAGTTCCCTTTCCTCAGGGTTAAGAGTGGTTAAGAATCCAGAGCCAACTCCCCTGCCCCACTGGGGCCAGCACCATTCCTCCATGGCCACGGCAGATGTCACTCTCCCCTTTCCCATTTCGCAGATGGAGAAGCTGGGTTCCTGGAATGTTCCATGCCTTCCTCCAGGTCACACAGTTAGTAGCCGTGGACCTGGGCTGGGAACGTGGCTTTACCAGACGCCTGGCCCACCTGTCTCCCGCTGCCTTGGGCAGGTGGGGAGAGACTGGAGGGAGGCCAAGCTCAGCCCGGGCAGGTGGGAAAGCAAAGAAAGCCGGACTCTACAAGCAGGTTTAATGCTCCCAGCCGTCACCACCGAACAGTCCAGAGAAAGGACAGGGATTCGTCTCCAGGTGGGCCAGGGACCCCCTCCCCATTTCCCAGGAAGCCTCCTGCCAGGTGCCTGGGGCAGGTATGGGCACAGCAGACCCCTGGGGCCTCATGCTGCATTAAATGTTTACAAAAATGAACCCATCGTATGCAACTCAAAAAGGGTCCCCAGAACGCACTTCCACAAACGGAGACAGACGGTGCCAACGGGAAGGAAGTGTCCTCGATTTAATTCTGGTCAGGGTCTGCCCCTCCAGGGGCCAAACAGCCCGCCTGCCCCGCCTGGTGGCAGAACTATTAGAATTTTTGCCCGTACCTGTCAACATGATCATTTACAAAAATAAATACGAAAAAAGCCGCAAGTCTTCAGTGATCATGGAATTAACTGGACAGCAATTACATGTGGAAGCATCTCGTCTATCTTCTACATTGCACCAAAACAATTTGGAAGCACTTAAGTTTGGTCTCAGAGGCAAAATGGAAGGACAGGGCAGGGCCGGGCCTGGCGCCCGCCCCCGCTCAGGAGCGGCTGCAGCCGGCCTCCCTGGCCTCACATTTCCGAGTCGGCGTACATTCCGTTGATTAAATAGTCCATCTGTGTATAGTCCTTCTTCTTGTAGCTCTCGTAGGCTTGCAGGGCAAACAAAACCAGGATGGCGAGGAACAGCGTCACCCCCAGGAGGAGCACTGCCAAGAGGATGCCCTTGTTCACCAGGGCCAGGACCAGGGGCTCGGTGGTGACCACCAGGTACTGGCCTTGGGTGCTGAGCGGACACGCATCTGTGGCTGGCACCTTGGTGTCTCCGGAGTTCGAGAGGGTTGGCCCTGCAGGAGCAGTACCCAGTGTGGCTTCCGTCCCTACCCACCCTGGGGTCTGGGTTGCTACTGGCCCCGTGGGCCCCCGGGTCGATGATGTGAGGTCTGACGGCATCTGTGTTGTGGCGGATGTGGCCTTCGCTGCGGGGGCTGGGCTGGAGTGAGGTGCTGGCGCTGTGCTGGCAGGTGGCTCCTCTGTGGGTGCCTTGGTTGTGCCTGCTGTTGTCGTGGACACCCAAGCCACAGAGGGGAGGGTGGTGGGCTTGGGGGTTGCGTCTGAGAGGATGGGTGTGGACCCACCTGTCCTGTTAACCTCAGACCAGCTCGCTGATAGCTGGGCGGTGGGACTTTGTGCAGGTGTGTTAGGAGCCTGGGGGCTTGTGGCGGGTGTGAGGGCAGCTGTGGAGTTACCCGTCGTGGGCCCGGAAGGCCTGTGCGTGCTGAGCGGACCGCGTGTACTTGGCCTGGCTGCAGCCACAGTCTTAGTACTCGGGGCTGACGTCACGGCTGCTGTTCCTGGTAACATGCTACTTGTTGGCACGTGTGCATGGGGTGTGCTAGGGGGTGGGTGCCCGGTGGCTGCGGCGGGTAGAGTCTGAGAGGCAGATGTGGGGACAGATGATGTGGGCCCTGTGGGGGCTCCAGAGGCCACGAGGATGGTCGGGCCTGCCGTGGCTGCTGTCACACCCGCCTCTGTCCTGTTCGTTGTCTCTGTTGTGACTTCCGTAGAGTGGGAGTCGGCCACCAAAGTCCCTTTAGTTAATGTGACAGGAGAAGGTGTCCCCACGATTGTTCTCTCAGTCGTTCCATTCTCAGCCCTTGCCACGGCTTCCCGGGCTGTGCTGTTCTGGACGGAACGACTCCACCTCTCGTTAGGGACCGAGTACCCTTAAAGCCAAAGGAGAAAGTGACAGTCACATTCAGGACGCACGGGTGGATGGCACAGAGCGGTGAAGTCCCAGCTCCCGAGGGCTGGCCCGGTGGCTGTGCTGGGCTCTTTCTTCTCGGCCCAGTGAGAGTGAAGGGAGGTGACGTGGGGACATGCTCCCCTCCCCTCTGCCCACGGCAGCATCTGCTGTACACAGCCCTTCACACGCTCTGGCATTTTCATTTTAAAACTGAACCCCAAGCCCACCAAAGGTTTAACAGCCTCACTGTTACGGATTACTGAATTGGATCCCCCAAAAGTATGTGTTCCAAACCCTAACCCCTATGCATGTGGACAGGTGCCCTGGTGGTGCAACGGTTAAGTGCTTGTCTGCTACGTGAAAAGCTGGCGGTTTGAACCCACCCAGAGGCACCTGGGAAGAAAGGCCTGGCGATCTGCTCCCATAAAGATTACAGCCTAGAAAACCCTACAGTGCGTTTCTGTGTTGCAGGGGGTCGCAGTGAGTTGGAATCAACAACACACACGTGCATGCAATCCCATCTGGAAATGGGGTTCCCTCTGTTACGTTAACGAGGCTGTACCAGCGTAGGGTGTGTCTTAAGCCAATCACTTCTGAGCTATGAAAGAAGCAATCTAGGCACAAAGAAGGACAAAAGGGGAAGATACACATCACATGACGATCTCCAAGGAATGGAGGAGCAGAAGCTGAAAGAGACAAGAACGCTCCCCCAGTGCCCACAGAGCGAGAGAGCCTTCCCCTAGAGCCGGTGCCCTAAATTCAGACTTCTTGCCTCTTGAACTGTGAGAAAACACATTTCCGTTCGTTAAAGCCCCCCACTTACAGCAGCACTAGGTAACTGAGACATAGACTAATCGCCCCAATTCCCAAAACACCAGACTTCAGACAGAGCGGGGACCTCGCGTTACAGGTGTTACCCACTCTAGGAAAACCCACTAAACAGAGGCCTGGGTTTGCCAAGCGGACAAAGACACTGCTGCACGGAAATTCCCACCGTGTGAGAATTCCTGGAGGGGAGCGCGGCTGGCACAGAACAGGAGCGCCAGTAAGTATCTGATGCGTGACTGGATGAACTCCCCCCTGAACTGATTTACAGAAGGAATCCCATTTTGCAGGGCCCAGCAGGTGCACCTTCGGGGGCTCAGCTGCCCTGTCCCGTTAGGGCGGAGAGGAGGCTAGGTCTGACGGCCCTTCCAGCCCAGCACCCAGGGACGGCTGGGGTTCCTGACTCACTGGCCTGGCCTGCAGAGCCCCCTCTCTCCTGGGCTCAGGGAGCTTGGGGCCTCCGTGGGCCTGTCCCGCAGTCCCGGTTTGTCACTGACCTGAAGAATGTGATGTCACTTGGCTTTTAGAGAGGAACGAGCAGAAAACCCAGACGAGCACAAGGGCTGTCCACATCTTGCGGGTGAGCTGGGAGCGAGGCTGGATCGTCCGGGCTCCCAGCTGCCGGCTCCTCGGGCAGCTCACGACCCCCTTCTGCTTGGCTGAGTGGTCTGTGGGTGGAAAGTACCCAGGTCAGCAGCACCCAGCCTCACCAAGGCCTGGGCTCTGCGTGCACCTACCCTGGGGGCTGTTAGGGTCCAGAGTGCAAATGGAACCAAGTTCTTGACCAGGGCCGGTGTCCAACAAGAGCGTACCGCGTGCCAGCTGTGGTGGCAACAACTATCTGTCCAGCGCCACACACTGGATGGGTTTAAGGCACTTCTCAAACCTGATTTCACTGAGTCCCGACCTCAGTGAGCTCCCACGACTGCAACCAAGAGTCCAGATTTTGAGAGAGTAGTAGAGAGGACCAAGACGTGGCCATGCTCACAGGCTAGGCCTTGGAATCGCCAAGGTCAGCCAAGTCTTTCTCTGTGACTTTTCCCGTGCTCTGCAGGGCTCCCCACGGCAACTAACCATGCCTTTCATACAGGAGATGTCGCTTAACAATTCATCCATTTCTCCATCCGTTGATCCGTCCCTCCATCCAACCATTCGTTCCTCCTTCTCTCCATCCACCTATCCTTCCATCTATCCAACCCTCCATCCATCCTTCCATCTATCCATCCCTCCATCCAACCACTCATCCCTCCTTCTCTCCATCCACCTATCCTTCCATCTATCTAACCCTC